ACTTACATAAGATCCTTTGGTGGGTCCGGCAGTAAGTAAACAAGCCGTCATCCGCATTTATGTATGCGAACAATGGAGATAATGTTCATCAACATCATTCAATCATACAATCGCTGTTGTCCCTTTACGCTTTCATCCGGTCTTTTGTGATTTGTAAGGGACATCTAAATCAACATGCCAGTTAATGAGTGCCTAATCTGAGCGCATTTACCAGAGCAATTTGCAGACCTTCTTAAACACAAACCCACGGAATTATTTGCATAAAACTCTTTTTTGGTCTCTTCTCCTACCAAATGATATTTCATGTTGATTAATACTATTCGTATTTTAGGATTATTAAATTTATTTTCATTTATGCCGCGAGATACTGTTCAGGTCTCATTAAACTAACTGTTTTCCTCTTATTTTGCCACTTAAGTTATTGATTAATTAGGTCATACCCTGCACTTTTTTAGACGAATCATATGGCACCTCCATGTCGCGCTGCCAATCAAAGGGTATTATGTACTGAAGGTCAATTTTACATTACAGGCTGCGCGGAATTAAGAGCGCGAAGACTTTTTTCCTTTAAAAAGGCTCCGCTTGGCGCTCCCTCTTATTCACTTTGACATCAACAAGCATGACCTCATTATATGTTGGCTATCTTGCAATTTTTCTTGCCGCATTCTGTAGGTATATCAGTTTCCCTGTTATCTAAGCGCCTTTTCCTTCAACTGGCTGTAACACTTTTTCTTCCTTGCAGTTATGGCAGCGCGCAGCCAACAAAGGGATTTAACGCTGCGTAGACGTTGTAGGATGAACTTAGGCGGGGAGGAAATAAAAGTGCCATTTGCTCTAGAGGTAGGCTTTCTTTCAGTATGAATGATTTTATTAAATCTGCATTTCCGTGACTTCGTCATTTTCATCAATCTTATTTACCTAAATGTGAAAAAAAAACATAACACAACATATGTTCAAGGAAACCCTATCATACGCATTTTATTTAATCCCACAGGCTGCTATTGGGAAGTGCAATGTTTTAAGGAGAGTGTGCGGAAGGATTAAGGGTAAGCTATCAAAACTCCACTTGCAACATATTAACGCACATACTTATCCGTATACTATTTTCTAGGCCATGAGGAGAATTTTATCATTCCTGCTGGAACAAAGCTCTCTGAAGAAGAACCTTTTTTGCAGATCAATAGCAAGGATGAGAAAGACGACCCTAAATTTATATCACTGAACGGTTAGCCATATTTCAGCTTCATCGCTAATGCCAACGCCTTCTTGTTAAAGGTCAGCGGGGTGCTGTTAGTGATACACTATCGGGCTGGTTGTCGGTGAGCAAAGGTGTTGTGGAACTTAACCAAACCTTTACTGTGCCATTTCTGATAGGTGTAAGTTCAACTGCTGATTACACTCTGCGTTGCCTGTAAATAAGGCTCAACAATTTATTTCTTTTATAGGGAATTATTCCAACTGTTCCGTACCGGATAATACAAAGTAAGCAAGCAAACTCTTTTGCATATTCTGCGCACCTCTTTATTATAAACAGAATATTTCGATTGAATATTGGCAGCAGATTTCAGAGAAAAAAACATCGAAATAGGCCCTAAGTTAATCCACTAGAAATGCTAAAAAAGTACGCGCCCGAATTCGTGATCCATGCCGACATGTGCAATATATTGATACAGTTTCGCTAATTGGCATTGACTCAGGTTGTCATACTGATTATCGTGTGGACTATTCTGGAGTTATTTCAGCCATATTAAGTAGCGCGCTTTTTAATGAGCTTCGTTTTGACCACTTAAAAAACGCATATTCTGTAAAAAGGTTCCTTAGTTAAATCTTATGCAGTTTTATCATTGTTTTTGACTACCTTTAAAAATTCGAATATAATTAATAGATAGCATGCACAAAAAAATATATTGTATATTTTTGGTAGCAAATTGTGCCTCCTTTAAATTTTATACTTAAAGAAAGGGTATCTTTCGGTTTGACATTTTTCTAAATTGCCAAATAACTTTGAAACCTAGTGACTGCTGCACTCGAATTTAAGGTCTTAAAAGGGCGCATAGTGTACATCCTGTTGAAGGAGAAGTACTTTTTCGCCTAGAGTTTAGGAAAGAAGTCACATAATTCTCATAAACTTTCGGAACAGGTATAGAGCATGCTTTATACACTATAGGCAGCATTACTAAATTCACGGATATAATGTATTATGAATGACCACCTAAAAATCGGAAAAAGCTCATAATTAGATATATTTCGAGAACCGAAAGATACCCTTTGATTAAGTATAAAATTTAAAGAAGGCGTAATTTGCTACTAAACGAGTACAATCAATACTTTTTTACGTACATGTTAACTAAAAAGTATGCTTCACTTTATAAAAGCAATCAACTTCTATGATTAAGAAGCATAATATTTAAGAAGGTACTTTTTAGAGTACATAAGATTTGTAAGCCATCAGAAAGAAGCTCGGTAAAAAGCCAGCATCCTATCGTGACTGGAATGACTTCAGAATAGACTACATGATAATCAGTATCGCAACCTGAGTCTCCTTACATCCACTCGTTTTTACTATTGTCTCGGATGGGGGACCCGCGACGGATTTGCAAACGATCCAGCGATCACATAGGCTTCTTTTCGGCGCTTGTTAGCGTCTGTGATGCTTTCAAAGCTAAGGCCCTCATGATAAATGTTAAACAGGCATACATAAATTGATTTGCAGTTTTTGGTTTGTATATGAGCACAACGCTATATGTTACGTTTTAGCGCAAACGTTCATTCTGCTGAGAGGAAGAATGGGAAATGAACCAGTTGAACAGCAGTTCGCCGAACACAAGGATGGAAGCGGCGAGAAGTACACAATAAAAATCTACCCTGAGCCCGAGTGTGCGCCCAAAACTCGCCCTGCCATCGCAGCTGCTAACGCTGACAACAAGAAGCCGTTCCCGTCAGAAATGCAGCCCGCCAACGCAGCTGCTTACGCTGAGTACAAGAAGCCGTTTCCGTCAGAAATCCACCCTGCCAACACAGCTGCTAACGTTGAGTACAACAGGCATCCGTCAAATGACCAGCCTGCCCGCGTCCCCGCTATCGTTGGCTACAAAAAGTTTGCGTCAGGCGACCGGCCTACCAGCACAGCCGCTAATGTCTTCCCTCTTGCATTTACATTCCTGGTATCCCCAAGGCTC